GCCCTCACAGTCTGACACAGTGCTTAGAGCATCTCCACCGGTGTGTCGCTATATCTATAGATTCGTTGCCCTTCCGATTGGCCGGAATGTTTTTAGCGATAGACACCGAGAGACATCACTCACCAATCTGTCGCTATGTGGAGAAATCGTCCTTCTGCGAGAAGCTCTTGACGACGAGGAAAGAAGGCGTACGTCTGCTCGCTACTTTTGACCCCTCGCGCACCGAAAAAAGAGAAAACACGGCGGTTCACAGCCCGGCAAGGCTGCAAATGTCGACAGAGACTTTCACTGCGGCCTATGAGATGCTTGTGCGGCGAAGTATCGCCGCACAAGCATCCTGGTACTATCGTACGGTATGACTGCAAGATTAGCGTCCAAAGGTTGTCCGCCCTCTGATCGGCCCCTGCGATTGGGTAGCGCACCACGCCGTGCACAGGGCGGCGTCTTCCTTGTCCGACCAAGCTTTTCTTCGAGGCATTGTTCGTTTGCAAGTGATCCAACCTCCTATAGATTTCAGTCGCTATGGCGTCCGAAATAGCGACCGAAACCCCCCGGTAGCTAAAAAATTGGCGATAGAGACGCCTGGTGAAACCCCAGTAGTTATCAATTTGAGCTCTTCAGTCGCTATATAGATATAGAGCCCCACCGGTGGAGATGCTCTTAAGTACATAATGTACAGTAGATTGCTGCGATTGTGAGGTAAGCTCGTCAGCATAAGCACAATATACTCGTCAAGGATCCAAGCGCATTGCACAAACTGTGCCATGGATGGTCAGGTCGAGCTGCGATCTACGCTGTTAAAAAGTGTCTCAACCAGCACGGTGCATTTTCGTTTTTTCGACTTTCCGTACCAGTCATCCCAAACAAGTTGACTTGTGATGGTTTCCGTCGTCTCGCTAACGCACGGCAGCAGCCGAAAGACTAACATCAACTCTCCCTCCCGACCTTTCCTGGTTAGCGCAGATCAAATGACCAAGTCTCAACAACAGAGCAACACTCATTGCAATGCACAGAAACTTGCTAAGCATAGCAACTCTCTACTGTACGGCGTCGTCAATGCCGTCCGAGCCATCCCCACCATGTACGGATACGCCGTCATCATCTTCAGCCACCACGCCTTCGCCAACTTCATGCCAGCGCTCTCCAAGCTCGTCATCTTCTCCAGTGCCGTCCACCAAGTGATGTTCACACTCATGAGCACCATGCCATTCGCTATCGGACAAGTCCAGGACGCCGGTCTCATTTTCCTAAGCGCCATGGCCACCTCCATCTGCAACTCGCTCGGAGACGACGTGTCTCCAGAAGCCAAGGTCGCCACAACCATCGTCACTATCGGCATCGCTACAGCTTCACTTGGAGTCTGCCTCGTCATCATGGGACGCTTTAAACTGGCAGCTCTCGCTTCGTACTTGCCCATGCCAGTGATCGGTGGATATCTGGCCTTCATCGGTGTCTTCTGCCTTTACGCGGGTCTTGCACTCAGCACGGGACTAGTCATCAACGACTTCTCCTCCATGATAGACATGTTCCACGATGCTCACAACGTTTTGCTGTGTGTGCCGGGGTTCCTGGGTGGGGCCATGCTACTGGTGGTCTCACAGAACTTCAAGAACCCGTTCGCCCTCTCAACCGCCATCATGGTCATGCCAGTGGTTTTCTTCCTGGTGCTGGCAATCGGCAGTATCTCACTCGATCAAGCGCGTCAAGACGGATGGGTCGACCCCGTGGAGAAAACTGCCGATATCTCGGAGCTCGTCAACCTCTTCGACTTCGACCTCGTGCATTGGGATCAGATCCCCAACCAGGTCGTCACGTGGATCGGTATGGTCTTCATCGTCGCCATCTCGTCCAGTCTCGACGTCGTCGCTATTGAGATTGACATGGGGACCAAACTCGACATCAACCACGAGCTCAAAACTGTAGGCTGGTCCAACGTCGTCAGTGGATTACTCGGTGGCTACACGGGGTCCTACATCTTCGGTCAGACGATCTTCACCTGCCGCTCCAAGACCAACTCTCGGATCGTCGGCGTGTGTGTCATCCTGGCCGAGATCGCGATTGTTGCTGTCCCAGTGTCCGTCATGAGCTACGTGCCTCGGTTCTTCTTGGCGGCCACACTCTTCTTCGTGGCCTTGGATCTCATGCTCGAGTGGCTGGTGCTGGCATATCGGAAGATGTGCGTGCGTGAATGGGCTGTGGTGTGGCTTTCGTTTCTTGCGATTAATTTGGTCTCGTTGGATTTGGGTATGCTCATTGGGATCGGTATCGCCGCCCTAAATTTCTTGCTGAGCTATATCCGAGTTCCTATCGTGCACAACAACCTCGATTCTTCCGTAGAAGATCGGGACCTTATTGAGAGCACCGTTCAGACCAGAAAACACGCTGGTATTGCACATTTCGAGTTCGGCGGATATCTATTCTTTGGCTCTGCCGTCCAGATCCTGGACACCGTGCAGAAAAGTGTCTACGTTCGCAGGAGCAACAGTGCCAAACAACTTTCGAGCAACGTCAACTACATGGATCTACCACTCTCTCATGACTCAAGTCTCCTTCCGATCCGCGATGCCCCAGTTCATTGCTTAGACGGAACCCCAGCCCCTAATGAGCACGTTTCACCAACGCAGTACGTCGTCATGGATTTCACTCGTGTCGCCGGCATGGACGCCACGGCAACACGCGGCGCCTTCCTCATCCTCAAGAAATACTGTAAGAACCACACTATTCCCGTCGTCTTCGCTAATGTCTGCCCTGATATCCGCTCGTTACTGATCAAGAACGACGTCGCCAGCACCACTGACTTCTTTCCTACGGCCGAATCTGCATTTGCCTTCTGTATCGGTCAGGTACAGTAGGCAATTTCTTAACAAACTACTATTATTAGTAATACAAGAAAGTACTATTCTATCAAATCTAGTACTACAGTATATCGAGATCTAAACTGGTTCTAAATTCTTAACAAGTTTAATTATAAAAAGTAAAAACAGAAGAAGGTGTTACAATAAAACCATTTGGTCCCAACAACCGAATCAGCCAAGAAGAAGGCGACGCTTCCTTGACTCGCCATGAGCTTCGCCGACTTCGCCGCCAACGGGTCAATGCCCCCGGCAGCCAGTCGCAACGTGTCTAGCACCGCCTTCCTCTCCTTACCGTCGTCTCAGGCGCGTCAGGCCGTGGAGGGCGCCACGTTGAAGCTGGAGCAGTTCCAGCGCCAAGTTCTCGCCATCAAGCGCGTGTCCGTCGCCTCCGGTTCCGTGGATGAAGACCTGCACGACCGTATTCGCTTCGCCTGTCTTTTACAAGAAGAAATCGCCAAGGCGCTGGCCCGCGTACCTGTGGACGCTGCCAACTCTCTCATTAAGCGAAAATTGTGCAAAGACTTTGAGAGTATTTCGAACCAATTGGAGACGGCTGTGCTGCGCGTCTCGGCGCGCGAACAGGAGCAGCAACAAGCGCTCAAAGACCAACAGCAGGACGGTCGCATCGTGGCCGAGCACCAGGGCCAAGTGTTTGAGTTTGCAGAGCTTGAGAACGAGATCGCGCACAACGAGGCGCTGATCGAGGAGCGTGAACAGGACATCAACAAAATCCACCAGAGTGTGGCACAGGTTAACGAAATCTTTCGAGACTTGGCCTCCATCGTGCAGGACCAGCAAGGAGCTATCGACGATATTGAGACTCACGTGCACGAGAGTATGCAACAGACGCAACAAGGTCTGGACGAGGTCAAGAAAGCTTCAGATGCACAGGGGTACTGCACGATTCAATAGATAGCAGTAGAAAAACAGAGTGAAGGTCAAGAGTGAAGGCGTGCAGAGTAAGATACAAGGAAATCCAGATGCGTGTTTTTTATTACGTTTGTTTTTATCAGTTTGTGTTTGTTTGTTTGTTGCCGCATTTTCGGCAGAAGTGCAAAGGCAACAACAGCATGGAGAACCGGCAACTGACGCAGCTACGCGAGAAGCTTCGGCGCCTGGAGCAAGAAAATGACGACCTGCAGTCGCGTGTGCGCAGGTTGGAAGCGACGGAGAGAGACTTGACGCATCGACTGGAGCGTGCCGATGAGGAACTCATCTTAGCACGGGAGATCGAGAGCGTGAAGGGAAATGAAAACCAGTCAGAACAAATCCGAGATCTGACAGTTAAGCTGGAGGGATACGAGAGCGTGATGGATCGTCTGTTGACTGCAGTGGGGATCCCAGTCGTGAGGAAGAAGGAAGCGCACGAGGTGAAGCCGCTTAGTGGAGAAGAAGAAAACACTGGAAGAGACGACGAAGGCAACAACACTGCACCTTTTGAGCTCGGAGCAACTACATGTAGCCCTGCAACTGAAGCAACAGAGACGGGGAAACTGCGTGCAGAGCTCAAAGTCAAAGCCGTGGAGTTGCAGAGTATCAAGGACAGCTATGACGAGTTCTTCGTGGTCAGTTGTGACTTGGAGAGAGCGTTATCGGGCGAAAACGAAGACTTGAAGTTCTTGGTTGACAAGTTGCGGATGGAAAATGCAAGTCTACGAGACGCCTGAGCTATGAGCGTTTCTTGCGCGCCAGGAAGCGAGCACGAGCCGCCGCAACAGCATCAGCAGACACAGCAAGGGGCTTTGAAGTTTCAGCTGAATTACCTTGAGATGTGTCAGCACTCTGCTGCGTTGTGACTTGTTCTTGATCTTTTCCCTCGACTCGAGATTTGCGTCCACACAGAGCGTAGAGTTGCGCTGCTGGCACGTTCAGTTTGTCCTTACTATAGTAATCCAGCCACCGACGCTCGACTGCCAATGCACCACGCATGAATGGTTTACTGGTAACCACAAGCTCTTGGTATACACAAAATTCGGGTGGAGCAGTGTAGCACATGACCGAGAGCGGGTGGAACTGCACCAAGTGAGCAACTTTCTTGCCGTCGTCGTGGTTTACTAAACGGTACACAGTCTCCATCGTGCATCGACGCGCTGCATTCATGAAGAAACCCGCACAAAGTGATTGACGGAGACGATCGTCCAGTGAGGCATCTCGTCTGTCGTCCTTTTCTCCCTTGACGGCTTCAACGTCACGCCTCGACAGCGTGTCGAGGATGTCTCGAAGCTGCTTGACGATGGATCCAGCCATCGTCAGGGCACGAAAGCGAAGACGACGATCGTCACACCAACGCTCGACATCGCGACGACGACCTTGAGCGCTACGAGCTTTGGACTCGAACGCCTTGAGTAACAGTCGATACGTGAGCTGGTCTCCATCTTCATGTAGAAGCCCATCTTCTCTCAGTGTCAACATGTTTTGTTCCCAATCTTCGCCCTCGTCACTGCCATCTCGATTCTTTCTCTTCTTGTTCTGCTGAGCGTCAATCAAAACATTCTCCACTGACAGCATCGCAACTACTTGCGTCATTTCGCGACTGCAATCCAGTAGTAACGACTCCACTAAAGCACGCGAGAGTTTGGGTTCTAACGGGAAGACTGCCATGAGCTTCCCGAGCGCTGTCGCTTCTCCAGTGGCATCCAACGCTCCGAGCACATACAGCTGCTTTAAAGCATCCAGCAACGAGTCCTCGTCAGGAGGATCCAAGTACGGAAAGCCAATCACATCCTGGACACCGAGCAGCTTCAGGTACAGCACAGTGTTAGCGAGATTCGTCCGTTGGATTTCCGGTACAGTCTCTTGAGCCATCTCCTCGTACGACGTCTTGTTGTACAGTCGATAGCACTTCCCAGGCGCCGTTCGACCCGCTCGACCAGCACGTTGCTGAGCTGACACCTTGGAGATCGGCACAACTACAAGCGACTCCATCTGCTGCACCGGGTTGTACACCTTTTGCTTCGTAAAGCCACAGTCCACGACGTACCGAACTCCGTCAATAGTCAACGACGTCTCGGCGATATTTGTAGCCACAATCACTTTACGAACTCGACTTACGGACACAGCGTCGAATATTTCACGCTGTCTTTGGCCTTGTAAGGCGCCGTACAAGGGCAGCACTCGGAGTTCCATCCCATCACTTCTTCGCTCCTGTTCTCTGTGCAGCGCTCGCATTTGGGCACACGCGTCCTCGATTTCACGTTGACCGGTAAGGAATACCAAGATATGTCCTGGCTCTTCACTGTTGTGCACCTGCATCGTCGTCTCCACTGCTGCACGGACGTAGGTGGATAGCGGGCCTCTGTGTCCCATGATCTGGCGCTGTTTGGAGTGAAAAATATCCACGGGAAAGACTCGCCCAGGGATTTTCACAATAGGACATGGCTTCACCTTCTTCTTCGACTTCTTTCCAATTGATTCGCCAAAGAACTCTGCGAACCGTTCAGCATCCAACGTGGCAGACGTGATAAGCACTCGGAACTCTGGTCTTCTCTTCGTTACTTGCTTTAATAACCCAAGGAGCAGATCTGTGTGGACACTGCGTTCATGAGCTTCGTCCAGCATCACGACGCTGTACTTTTGGAGTAACGGGTCACTCAAACACTCGCGAACAAGCACTCCATCAGTCAGGAACTTGAGTTTCGTATTTACACTGCAGCGAGACTCGAACCTGATGGAGTACCCCACGACCCCGTCGCCTCCAACCCTCGTGTTCATCTCCTCGGCCACTCTTTGGGCCACGGAGACGGTAGCGACTCGTCTGGGTTGCGTGATGGCGATACACTGGGATTTCTCGTCACCTCCACCTTTTGAGCTAGTATACGCTCCACATACGTGCAAAAACTGCGGGAGTTGTGTGGTCTTACCGGACCCAGTCTCACCTACACAGACAACGACTTGGTGGTCGTTTAAAGCCTGCAGGATCTCCTCACGGTGCTCAAGAGCAGGGAGAGGAGTGGGCTGTGCAGATTTCATCTCCCGAGTTCGGGAGATATCGGATTTAGATAGATGTTGGCGACGGTGGCAGCGAGATGAAGAGGAAGAGGGTGGAGAGGAATGATGGCGGCGAGGAGAGCGGGAACGCGAGCGAGAGCACGAATGTCCCCACTTCCGGTCGTGGTCATCGTACCGGTAGCGAGCCATTATTGTTGTCGATTGTTTTGACCAATTACAATGATTACCCTTACGAGTTGATTGTTTCCCAGTATTCGTTCATGGAGGATGCACTTCAACTTGAGCGGCCAAAGAATGTGTCATAACACGAGCGTTTTGCGTAAAGAAGTCAATGGAACTCGCCGCAGGTCCAACCGGGTACATCGCGATAGAGTGATCCACAAGGTAATCGTCGTCGTCGTTCTCGTCCGCCTTGGAAAAGTAAACGCGATACGTCTTGGCAATGTCTGCGCTAGTGCCTGTGAGCATCTTATACTTGGGATGAAAGTTAGCCTTCTAAGCTTGCACCTGGGCAATCGTATCTCGCTTCGGGTTCACTGTGATGAACAACGGCACAACCTCTGGGCTCTTATCGCCCTCCAGCTTGTCCAGCACGTCGCCATTGCAGACCAACTCGTTGGGACAGATATCCAAGCAGTGCGTAAAGCCAAGTACAGCAGTGAGAACTTGCCACCGAACGATGCATCCGTTACGCTCCACAAGCGTCCACGGCCCTCCTAGCAGTGCATAAGCTACCGTCTTCGTGGCTACAGGAGATAATAATCTTTAGTTTGAAGACGATTCTTCTCGGAGTAATACAGCACCAGCCAACGTTAAACTACTCCAGGTGACCGGCTTCAAGTACAGTCGTTAGCAAAGGTCAAGTACAGACGAACGACGAGTTCACTTTGTTACACCGCGCTTTTCGGGAACGGGATCGTCAGAGAACAAGCGACGAGAAGTTTGAGTAGCGGCCGCTCCTCCGCGCTGCAACATCTTAATCGTCAGCAGCGCTGGGGTCGCTCTTGTGTTAAATAGCGTTATAATCGCAAAGTGGCAAAGCCTGTCCTGGCAAAACACACCCGACACGATCTAATAATCATTATGATTGTGATAAAAGGAGTTTTTCGTCAAGGGTTGGACGCCTAAGCACAAACTACTAACAGTCTAAGGCTCGTTCTCAACCAGGCGCATCGCACGGCATCGCATCGCTCACTTCTGTACCGTGCGACCGCATCGGTTGAGAATGATCTGTGCGACGCGGTAAAACCAGCTGCATAAAAAATCGCACCTAACAGAGGTAAGTGATCCTTCCAGTACTGTTGAAGGAATGATTTGCGCAGAGTTGTTAGGGCAGTACAGAACTGAATGAGGACAAAGGTAGAGAGGATTAGGCGGCCATAGTGAAGAGGAAGTCTTGAATGTAGAAGGAGAAGACGCTTGTGTGGTAGAGTTCGTAAAAGAGGAAGTGGTGATTTAGATAGTCTGGTGTCCTGGAGGGGAGTTATTCTCCACCAACCAGTCCAGTTATATAAGAAATCTCTATATGATATAGCACAATTATATTCCCCTAGATAGTCAGCATCACATCGGAGATGGTTACTTCAACAGCCTCCCACATCGAGGAATGTGTATGATGCTCTATCTGTCAGGTGCACCACAGGTGGCTGTTAATAACAGTCCTGTGCGTACATGAACATTTACAAGAGGTAGATCTTGTTTTGATATTGACATTCTTTTTTCTTTGACTTCTATTGTCAGATTTGTCGTTTTGTTACCAGTTTTGGCAGGGGTTGTACAGATTTCTTGTTTTATTGTTAAGCTGGCTACTCAGGAAAACCGTAGAGGATTAAACCTGTTCACCATAGTAGGATGTCGTTGTTAGCGCTTTTGTTGCACGCGTTTTGAAGAAAGCTACTCAGGAAAACCTTTCATTTTGAGGTGTCAAAATCTGTTCGCTGTATTGTTGGCTACTCAGGAAACCTTTGAGAAAACACCTGTTCACCGTGTTGATATTTAGATATTTTGTGAAAGTTGTGTTAAACTTTTGTTCATTAAACTGCCAGTTTTGTGCTCTTTAGTTTGTGGATATTTCTTCACACTTTGAAATTTCGTATTTGCTTTTTGTTATTATTTGATTGCTTTTACTTTTGTGCGGAGAGTTTATAGTTTTCAAATATTTTTAAAGAAAGGCTACAGCTTTCAAAGCATAAAAACATCTAACAGTGTCATCGGTAGTGTACGCATCTTGTTTGCAGGCTCTCATCGTTGGGGCTATTTTTCTCCTTAGAGGCTCATGGAGTTGTTTCTCATTTCGAAGATTTTTATTTTGTTTATACTTCGCAAGTGCAAGCAATAGGTTTGTAAACTATCGATTCCATTGAAAATGAAACTAATGCAGTAAAACTATAGTTGCTTTCTGTAGACAGAGGCTTGTGTAGGCTTGTCTTAAAGTCATAAAGTATTGAAGATTTTTTCTTTATGCTGGAAATGTTTGAAACTTTTGCCGCAATAAATTTTTTAAGTTTGGCGAATTGAATGAATTGTTTCGGCGTTGTTGCCTCCCAGTTTCATACATTTCTGGGCGTATTTCTTAACTTGGTTAAATACCAGACACATGTTTGTATGGACAATTGCCCATTTTCATTTTATCTCTTTCTGTTTTTTTTAAGGTATATTTTTATTTTACAGGTCCAAAATGTAGTGGATTACCTGTTCTCAACAAGCCGTAGATCTGCATTTAGTAGACTGCTGCAGCTTTGCATTAAGCGAGGTTTTAGCTGTGCCATTCGGCCTTGTAGCTCGAGATGTACATATTTAAAATGGTATCTCATTAAGTACACATATACTAGTAGTAAATACACAGCTTGTAGCTGGAATATTTTAAGCACAGCTTTATAGCTCGCAAGTGGGGCATTTGGCCTCCCAGTATGGCGTGACACTACAGCAATGCTGCTGGTGCGTGAGGGCGGTATTTAGTTCTTCGCCTTAAATATGTACTACATGTACTTGTACATCATCAAATGCATGTACGTGTATGTGTACGTGTACGTGTACGTGTACGTGTACGTGTACGCGTACATGTACGTAGAGCACAAGGCACTGTGGCCTTCTAGTACGGCTTTTCAACCAGCAGCAATAGTACAGCGCTATGGCTGGTCTGGCATCATGGCCTCACAACTCGGCAATGGCCGGTGTGGCACGGAATGTATGTGTCTCGTGCGGCGCTACAGCTCCATGGCTGGCGCGGGGGTTTCATGACCTCCCAGCATGGCGAATAACTACGCATGCTGTGCTACAGCACAGTGGCTGGACCCAAGTTGGCAACGTGGGCCTCACGCGAGTTGGTGTCCGTCGGCGATTTTTCTCCTCCGGATCTCCTTCATGAGCCTTGGG